TATTTTTGTTTAATTTTCTGAAACTCGATTTTTTTTCTTTGGCTTTCTTTGTTAAGAAAGCCGTTTGCACGAGTTTATATGGCCAAAACGACAAACTCTTAACCCTAACATTAATCATGTCGCCTTCTATAGTAAGGCATTGATATTAACCATTTCTCTTTCGATGACGCTTTGTTTGTTATCTCCCCTTTATTTCTAATTTTTATTGCCATAATTACAAGAGTGATAAGATTTTATTAGAACCTCATTATCGGTTCGGTGCCAGTTATAATGACCACGAGCGAAAAATATATAAAAAAATTGTTCTACTATTTATGTTATTGTTGCTAATTTGAACAAATATTTTATTTCCCGATCTAAACCAAACTATTATTATTATTGGGTGTTCAACACTCGAAGGTGTATTTATCTACATACAAGCATATTTGTTAGTTGATATTGGTTGGCTGGGGATTGTGGCCAGTGTTGCCATTGCAGATTTACAAAAAATGGACGGAAACGGCGAATGATTTAAAATGTAGGAAGATAAACTTTGGGTAGATAAAAACTGGTCTGGGACGACTTTATGATAACCTACACCACAATTCGCATTTTTAGAGCTACCCGTAAGAAATCAAATTGGGAGCGTTTTAAATTTGAAATCGATTGGAACTAATATGTGAAAGTTATAAATTATCTTTATAGACTTTATTCTACTCGGACCTTAATTGTACCATCCAAAAATTGAATATATTTGGAAAAACGTAGCATGGTCGGTATATCATAGACATTAAATTAGAGAGAAACATATTCAAATCTGAGAAGATTTGGTAAAGGTTTCTAGGCTATATCAAATATTTTGGGTCGTATAGCATGGCTTTGGGAAAACCACAAGTGGCTATCTTTAGAGCACTCCAGCATTTAAATGTGAATAAATCTTTTGTGTCTCGTACCATCGATCGTTACCGTCCTATTGGTAGCGTAGCCCGACGTCAGCAGAAATGGTTCGAAAAGTAAAGAAGCGACTTGATCGAAACCCGCATCGCAGTGGCCGAAAAATGTCTTGTGAGCTGAACATATCGCAATGTTCCATTCGGAAAATATTGAAAAATGAGCTCGGGGTAAAGCCATTGAAATTCCAAAAAGTGCAAGAACTAACACCGCAGCAGAAAAAATTGACTCAGTAGAGCTAAAGAGGTGATTCGCTTGACCGAAAGTGGTGAACTCCCGAATTTGATTTTCTCCGATGAGAAAACATTCGTTGTCCAGCAGTTTGTAAATAAACAAAACGATCGTGTTTACATGCCAAAGAGGTCAGGTGCACCTTCGGTTGGCCACCAGAACTCAAGCGCCGGCCATGGTGATGGTTTGGGCCGCCATAACAGCCGATGGTCGCTCTCCGCTCGTATTAATCGACCGCGGCATCAGAATAAATGCCAAATATTATCGCGAAAATATTATAGAGGGTGTATTAAAACCTTGGGCTCGCAAACATTTTAGCCGCAGACCTTGGACATTCCAAAAGGACGTGCCACTCAAGAATGGTTACAAAATGAGGTTCCTCGCTTCATTTCCAGCGCACAATGGCCACCAAATTCTCCGGATACCAATCCGTTGGACTACCGTGTCTGGAGTATTTTGGAAAGCAAGGTTGGCACTAAAAAATACCAAAGTGTCGATCACCTCAAGCAAGCGTTTCACCGGGAATGGGCCAAAATACCGCAGAGCAAATTTCGGGCAGCGTGTGACGGTTCATTGGCCGTTTGAAGGCCACAATTCGTGCCAAAGGTGACCAAGTTGAACAAATCTAATCATATTCTAAAATTTGATGCTATTTTAGTCATTTTTTACTTTCATTTAATAAAATTTTAAAAAATGTAGAAATTATGGCATTTGCCTTTGTTATTTGTTATCTCACCCTGTATATAAACAACTAGTAAGTGCTCGCTACCTCGTCACCGAAAAGTCCACCATAAATCTTTTTCTTAGTTCTAACAGTCGTAATAGGTTTTTAAGTCTTAAAATTCACATATTTTTTAGTTTGACAAAATTGTTTGATCAAAACTTTATACATTTTAATAAATTCTCAGACTTTCCAGATTGAATGTATCATTCATTTTTTTCCTTTTTCGAAATGAATAATGGAAAAATGTTTACCCTTTACACTAAAAAGTTTTTAAAATCTTTCCTTTTGAAGTTTACTGAAGAACATATTAGTTAAACCCTTGCGTTCCACATCAAATTTTTCTGACCAAAACTATTTCAACAACTTTTTATATTTAGTAACCAAAAGAGACCTCTATATCGAATTACAGGATTCAAACTCTACTCATTCCTTCGCCGGTAAATTAAATACCATTTAGTACTTTTTGAAGAATCATAGTACGCATTTCCAAATCCATCTTCTTATCTTAAAACTATATACCCAACAGTGGCCTCCAGACCAAATTTTAAAATTCCAGCTCTATCCCAAGACCCAATCCTAAATGTGTTACCATACATGTGTACAGTTATACTACACGTGCACCTACTTCTCTCCATCCTAGACAACAACAGTGACCTTGATACCAAATTTTAGAATTCCATTTCTATCCCAAAACCCTATCTCTATCTTCGTACAGTTGAAGTGCTTATTTTCAAAACAATCCCCATATTTCAATCTCAGATACCAACGCATTTCCAAAACCACCTCCATATCTCAATCCCAGATACCAACAAGGATCTCAATATCAAATTTGAAGATTCCAGCCCTATTCCTTCACCCAAAATCAAATTTAGTACTATTTAGTACTTTTCGTACAAATATAGTACGCATTTCCATAAACAATTTTTGGTCACAGGCTGTAGTACCTATTATGAACTCGAAATACGAAATTTGAAACAACTCCGGTTAATAATGTCGCTGAAGTCATCAAAATACCGAATATTGAGAGGTACCGTTGTAGGTGGACTATACGATATCGTGGAGCTATATAGACATTTTCTCTTTCAGGGGCGAAGTGCTTAGAAATAAGTTTTAAATATATACCCCACCTTGACCTGCCTGCGAACAAAAACCTGATCTATGCAAAATTTGAGCTTCCTATCTTCATTGGTGTTTAATCTAACGTGATTGCAACAGACGAACGGACAGTACATATCGTGGACCTATGTAGACAATACTCTTCCAGGGGGCAAAGTACTCGTAGGGGACTCTTTTGGTGGTTTTTCAAACAATTTAATTGAAAATTTTGGCTACAATCATCAAAATGCTGAATATCGCGGCTGGGCGATACCATTATATTAGGCTATATGATATCGTGGACCGATATAGCCCATCTTGGCCTACCTGCAGACAAAAGACTCATCTGTGCAAAATTTTGGCTTCCTATCTTCATTCGTTTTTACTCAAACTTAATTACAGCAGACGGATAGACGGAAAGCGCTAAATCGTCTTAGCTTTACGCTGATCAAGAATGATCAAGAATATACATACTTTGTTATGTCTAAAATTATTATTTCGATGAGTTATAAACGGCATGACGAACATAATATACCCTCCTCACTATGTATGGTGATGGGTATAAAAAAAATCAAAATAGGCAACACTGATGCCGGTAGTAATAACAACACACAACGTAATTGATGGGAGGAAGGGGGGGGGGGGGGGGGGGGGGGGTTGGTTTGCCATGTAAACAATACTCCACCCTCGCGTATGGCGTGTCACAGTCAACACTTTGTTTGTATGTTTACTGGGAATGTTAAAGCTTACGCTCCTGAAAATTAGAGAAAATAACACATCAACAACAAAAGAGAACTGTTAATTTTTTTTATTGAATTGTAATTCTAATTGCGTCATAAGTTTGAAAGTTAAACAGTGTTGGTCAAATTTTGATGTCATTGTCTTGATTTTTTTTTTGTATGGCCTATGCCACCATTTATATGGAATTTAGTTAAAATTTAGTCTCATTAAGTGATTTTTATTTGTTTATTTTATTCGAAATGACAATTGATATGTTTTTGACGCCTAGGTCGCCAGTAGGTCAACACATTTATAGGATCCACATTTCGATCTTCTTGAAGATGCTTTGATTCAGAACTTGAAAGGATTTCTTGTGGTTTACTTTTATGTACAGTACGCCATAAAAGGAAGTACAACTTTCAGGCAATGACAATCTCTGAAAAATTACTTTTCACAAGACTAATTTGGTTGAACTGAAAATAGTACCATGGTAAGTTCAATTTAGTGACGTATATGTTGCTTTTAAAAGACATTTTTCTAGTATCCATTTCCGCATTTTCTGGTTACGACAATTCAAAATTACTATATATTACTATATCCCCAATGGAACCAAATTCAAATTTTCTGCCTAAAGGCCTTTTATACTTCGTTCCATGGTACAATAAAAAGGTAAGGTAGGGCTCCCAGCTGATTACAAATTTTTTTTAGGTGTGCCCGACTTCTGCCAATTTTGTGTATGTATTTGTTGCTTTGAAAAATAAAAACAAAACATTTTCAAAATCAATGATTGAAAGAAACTAAAATTGCGGGGCGCGCAATACTAATATTAACCTGATTTGCCATGGAATTGAAAGATTGAACACTTAGGATCATATTTTTGAGAGAATTTCAATCATCTTTCACGATATTTGACTCATTTTCGAAAGGAACAAAAAATACCAAATAAATAGAAACAATTTGTTGCCTATAATTTTGAATGATTCTGACAGGAAGCGGGCATAGCCTCAGGGCTGTATTTCTGTAGTTTTACGAAGTTGTTCTACCTCCTTATTGTACCATGCTTCGTTCTGTTTTCGATAAACTTAATATTCGCAGACAATGAAAGGAAGATTTCCTTCAAACAAATTCTACGAAAAGGATGATTCTATATTATGGAATTTTATTAACCCATCTGAATGAACGCATAGTAGTGTCGAAGTCTATGCACATTATATCTGTCGGCCTTCATAGCTACTATTATTTTTATGTTTAACATATGTTTAACCCGAATTAATCAATCTCTTTATAAACTATTTTTCAGAAAAAATGGTTACGATGAACGAGTACAATACACTATCACAGAGAAAAAGGACAAGAAACCCCCAAAGGCCCATGTAAATGCATTGTTTTTCAAACAGTTGCGACAAATTCTACGTAAGTATTTTGGCATTAAAATTTAGAATATTGCATTTTTATACCCTACGCTTTTCTGTTGTACAGGGCATTACGTCTTTGTGCATTATTTTGTAACATGCAGAAGTTCGTGATGAAGATCTTCATAGAATCACATTCTTAGTTCATTTATGTCCGCATTTATTGTCCGATTGAGATGACATTTTACACAAATCATTTTTTATTCTTTGACGAAAAACGAACTCTTTATTTAAATTTTTGAGTACCGGTCTAAATTTAGATAAAGCTCCCGTATATATCTTCGTTCGATTTCGATTGATATTGGTATTATTCATCCAAATACAATATATTTCGGCACATCCGACCGAATTCAGTCTAGAATCAAGTACTTTAAATTTAGTGAAAATCCGTTCAGATATAACTTTAGCTCCCACATATATGTTTCATCCGATTTGATGTTTAAGTCCTAACATCCGTAATATGCATTCCATACCGTCGCTCGTACGGTAGGTAAAGAGATATGAAGATGAGATCCCTCCAGGATTTTGTCTCCAGTCTCGCCACCGTAGTATCACCACCACTGAACTTAATAAAGAATATTAGGTTTATATTTTTTTTAGCAACGATGCACGTCCTTGCCATGTCACAATTGGAGACTGCGTTAGAGACGTACAGCCCACTCCCTAGTCCAGTCACTCTATTGTTGTGGACATAGAGTTCCTGAACCAGGGCTATGTCTAATTCAGCTTTTGTGTGGGATAGGAGAAATTAATCCTCTCCTACTCCTAATGCAGCGGTGCTTGTCGGAAACGAATCCAAACTGTTCCGAAATGCAACTTGCCCCCACGAGCTTGAAGATAATCCTGACAATCCGTATCAATAGATATCTTGACTACCAGGCTGCCCCCCTCGAACTGACGATAAGCCAGTTGTGTGTTCTCAGGTTGGGGGTTTGTTTGCCGATTATCGACAGAATGCGTACCGCATCCACCGATGGTGGTGGCACCCAAGCTGTCAGGGGATCTCCTTCAAGGATACAGCCGCTAAATTGCACCCTTGCCAAAGCTCGTAAAAGTCAGTTACTGTGGTGACCAGGAATTCTTCAGATTCCTCGTTTTCAGAGCAGTTGACTTTTACGCCCTTGGGTACCGCTGCCAAACTGCGGCCTATTTGGATCACCTTTACCCAGAAAGACCAGTTCCTCAGACAATCTTCGATTATCAGCCATCTACTCTAGCTGATTTTATCTTTCGGTTCGGTTTTATCGATGACAGCCACTCGAAGATTGTCTGGGAATGCTTTCACTTCCGTCCTCTTTGGCTTGACCGCTTCCTTGTGGCTCTTTACAGGCTTTGAGCTTGTAGGGGGTTTGGTTACAATCGGCTTGGATGGCTGGGGGGTCTGCCTAGTAGATAGTACTTCAAATTTGGTGAAAATCGGTTCAGATATTGATATAACTCCCATATATAGCTTCATCCGATTTGGTAAGTCCCTCACAATCGTAATATGCACTCCACAACAGTAATATTTGGTAACAGATATCAGTTACAGCTCAGAAATACCTCTGCAAAATGTTATGTTGGATTTAGCTTTCTTATATATCTTCATCCGATTTCACGTTGATTATGCAACAAATGTAAAATATCAGACCAAATTGGATGGATATTTGGACATTCAATCGAATTTACCCTGGAAACTAATACGACATTTGGTGAAACTCGTTTTCCATATTGCTTCGATATGCATTTTTTAATATAGTCCTTCTCGAAGTCATATCATGCATGATCTATAGCAATTTTATTTGGTACGGGAGGTACAAATGCCTTGGTCAAATTTAGGGGAAATCGATTCAGAGTCTGATATGCATCCCAAATGTTACTTCCCTCTGATTTCAAATTATAACTAATCTGAAGCCATAACTGGCTTTTTACTGGTAGCTCTACTAAATATTTTTATTGGTGTAGGTTAGCATATTGCCAGGCCGACCTAATTTTGACCTTTTTTACTGGTTAACCAATGCAAATTCTTTCTTTTTTGATTCGTCCGAGGGACCGAGGGTATATTATTTTTACTCTTTTCTCTTAACTCTTCTAATTCAAATTCTATTAGAACGCCTTGGGCGGAATGTTACGGTGTTCTGTAGTAATCTTCATTATAGGTTTTGTGTCGAATCTCATTTGAAAGAGTATTGACTTCTCACTCAATCACTAAGTGGTCTTTGCTCCCTATCCAGTTTCTCCACTTTATTGATAACCCTCTACCAAATTACAGATGTCTTGAAATAAATTCAATAATCTTTGAACAAAATCTTTAAAGTACAGTGCTTCCATGTAATGAGAGGATTCCGGTTTTATTTAAAATATTTTGTAGGGTTACAATTGTGTGCATTACGTTCTTATTGAAACATCCACAAATTAACGACGATATCTTCTTCGACTGCGATTACGTCGGCGATAAGGACTAGCAGTTGTTTCAAATTTATTTGGTTGTAGAACATCATCATAGTTTAAGGATCCGACATTTGCAGATACGGGGCAACAATTATTTGATTGTTCGCATCCTTCCCTAATTTTACAATGCCCCGCTCGTAACTTTACAATTTGTAGAGAATTTTGCCATAATTTTGTACAATTTTCAATAATTTTTCGATACAAACGCACCGATTTCTTTTGCAATAAATAAAAATGATCGGTTGCATAACCAACACATATGAGAAATGTTAAACTTATTGCCGTTGTTGCTGCTCCCAGTATATATTGTTCCCAGTCCATGTAGATTTTTGGTCGTAGGCCAGCAACAAGCAATAGAATTTTGCTCATTCTGCACGTTACATTCTCAATTGTACACCAAACAATTAACGCACTGAATTCGACAAGCAATAGACTCATCACTGTTTCGGCTGCAACCTGGCATACATACGGCAGATGCCTATATCGTAGAGGGAATATTTCGATATCCAAAAGTAAGTCGAAAAATCCTATTATAAATAACCAACTTGCCAAAGTCGGAGCATTGGAACACAAATCAGCTTTTTGTACGATGAAAAACGATACGCCCAATATCGAGTGTAGCGATGCTGTTATTGCTACTGCCAATCCGGAGACCATTTCTGCGATGGGGTGAAGGAATTTTTAATTGTTACAAAAATAAATTATAAAACAATATTTTTATAAAAGAATTGAAAGTTCTTTTTATTGACTTGACAGACATTGCCAAGACTGAGTCGGTGAATACTCAAATTGCTATCAATTTTTTGGAAAATTTTTATCCCGATAGTTATCCACTTGCAAGTTAAAGCGGAAAACTATTATGCGTTTTGTACGAGTCAAACTCTCTGGGACTAAGCAATGTGAGACTAAATCATGAACACGGCCACGCATACCGTAGCTATCTGCGATGAAATTGGAAGTAGGAACAAGGTTCAAGTCTCTCAAGTCTCTTGCCGGCAGCACTTGGGGAGCTAAGAATGAGAGCGAGTAAAAAGAGCAAATTTTGACTCAGTAACTCAATTGTCAAAATTGCTCTCTAAATTGAGTAGCATTCATTCTGAAGCGATTAGAGAAGCTATGGAGAAATAGGTTGTTGTTGCAGCAGTAGTACATGTAGATTTTTGAATTCTGCTAATCTGGTTCAAGCTCCAGGTTTAAAAATTCGGCTACTTTAACGGGCTGTAGTCAGAGATCTTCTGGAGTGAGTTGGGTAGGTTTGGCTGTGCAATTAAAGGGGTGCAGCATATTGTGCGGGCCTGTATCGCACATCTTCGTCAATTCGTGCCCAATACGAATTGAGACGACTTCACCATCCTGAACGTATTTGCGCTAAAACTGCCCTGGTTTGTCTAGGCAGCTGGTGTTCTTCTGCTGCAATGGATGGGGGTGAACTCCGAGGACTGCATTCATTCTATAATTGCTGATAGCATCTGCGACTGCATCGGTATGAATGCCACTCAGTCCTGCCTGATAGACTTCTTGATCAAGAGGTTCTCTCTTATACCGTTGGACCTCCCTCTAGATCGTCTATGTCCTTCCTGACACGCCTGGGTGGGGGAGTTGTATACGCCATATGTTGGTTGGGATGACTCTCACGGTAACACCTGCATACTGCAACGAAAGCATATGATTATGTTGACGTAAGGGACGGTATTTCGCCTCCTCATGTAGATGATCCACTTCTTGTTCCGGAATTCCACGTACGACTGGCGTCCGCACATATAGTCTCGGAGATCATTCGTTAGCAATTGCTGAGGGCTACTTCGTCATATCAGATTAGTTTTTGCTAAACTGCGTTTTAGATTGTGTGTAGCCCCATAATTCGTATTGGGTACGAATTCATAGCAATGTTCAGAAAATCTGCCTACCATGTGGCAAAGGCCTATATGAGACGTTGCACATCTTTAATTGCCCAGTCCAACCTACTCACCTAACTTCAGTATCGATGTGGATCCAGTCCATACAGGTCGCTTTTTTCATGAACTTGAAGTTAGAAGCTGAACCACATTAGAGTTGCATCAGAACGAACAAGCATCACGAGCTGCTATAATAACAACATCTCCGTAAATACCAACTGTATTTGTCCAGCAACGAATGCCTTCCGGCCTTTAAGTATAGCTACTTTAGCTCCTTTATAACGGCACTTCTCGGTTATCAGATTTTGATATTTCAGTCACATATCGCACGATATGCTGCCCGACAAACTCTAGTAGTTTTGGCTAAGTTAAGATTAGGATAGTGCAGCCGACTCAATTCCTATTGGGAATTGGGATTGATAACGACCTGCAGAACATCTGCCCAGTTTGTGGCACAGGTCCACATGACACGGTGCAACTATTTCGCTGCCAAAACTATTCAACTAACTCCAGTATCGTTGTGGACCCAACACGTATAGGTTGCTTCTTTTTTTAAACTGGACTTAGAAGCAGAACCGGATTGAGAGAAGTCAGAACGAACACAGCTGTATGAGGTTCTACAACAACAACGATCACAATTTGAAATTGAGCTTCTTTATTAAACTTTAAACTTTTGCAAATTTATTTTTTAACCATGCCACAGCCATATTCTAAACATATGGTACATGGCAGAACGTGTGAAGAATTTATCACTGTTTTTTCAACATCGGGCGCTAAGTCCAACGATTTGCTACTCCTTTTAAATCTTTGTTAAACCTATGAGGCTCGGGACAATGGCGTACCCCACTCAAATGATGAAGTCCTCCATAACATTTTACAAAATATATGCACTTCCATTCGTAATCCATCCATAGGTTTCAAAATAAAAATAATGCCAAGAAAAAAATTCGCCTAAATTTGGAGAAGTTCAACATTAATTGTAATTTTTTTTCTTGCAGCCATATTAATTCCCAGATTTTGGAGTATGGAAAGTGGTCTTTTAGTTCTGGTAGCAGCTTCACTGGTTGGACGCTCTGTCAGTGATATTTGGATGATACAAAATGCCACTGTGGTGGAAAGCACAATTATCCATATGAATAAACCTGCGTTCCAAAAAGCTTTAATAAAATACTTAGCTGCATTGCCAATGGTAACAAATGATTTCATATTTCTATTAAATTTGCACTTCAATTTTATTCTATCATTTAGATTTCTGTTGTAACCAACATCTTAAAATGGAGTTTAGGTGAACTGAAACTAAGATTTAGAACAAATTTAACACATCATTTGTATAATCAATATTTGAAGTAAGTTTGGAAAATAATTAACAGATTGAATAATGTATTTTAATCACAAATATTGTCATTTATACTTGCAGCGGTTACACCTACTACAAAATGTCCAATTTAGACAATAGAATAGCCAATGCCGATCAATTGTTAACAACCGATATTGATAAGTTTTGTGAAAGTGCCACAGACTTGTATTCGAATATCAGTAAACCCATATTGGATATATTCATATATGTTTATCGTTTGACCACAACTTTGGGTGCCAAGGTAAAACGATTGGTTCCAAAAAAACAGTGTTTCAAAATCTCATTAATTTACATTCATATTCATTTTAGACACCCTCCATACTTATGATGTATTTAGTGGTAGCTGGTGTTTTCCTTACACGATTGCGTCGCCCCACTGGCCGCCTCACTGTGGAAGAACAAAAACTTGAAGGTGAATTCCGCTATGTTAACAGCCGTCTGATCACAAATTCCGAAGAAGTTGCCTTCTATCAGGGCAATACACGTGAAAAGCTAACCCTGTTGGCCAGCTATTCGAAATTACGTTCACATTTGCGTAAATTTTTGGAATTCCGTGTTGGCATGGGTATTGTGGACAATCTTGTGGGGAAATGTAAGTTTCGTGTTCTTTTTTTTGTGAATCTAACTGCATATTTAATGTATTTCATTTTCCAAACAGATTTTGCTTCTATTGTTGGTTTCTATGCTGTGTCCATACCCTTCTTTACTCCCAACCATCCCATGTTGTCTGGTGAAAATAGTGGCAAACGTTTACAAGTAAGTTAAATGGCATAGAATCAATTTGATTTTTTTTTTTAATAGGGGAAAATTTTTTCGAATTTCAAAATAGGGATAAAAATGCTACGTTCCATAACCAGGAGCAATCATATTCTTCTCATATATTTTTTCCATATCACAAAGGAAAAATTCGTTATTCCAATAACAAAATTGGCATTCTTGCAGATCTAGAACAAATCAAGTGCGGGGAATATACTTTTTATACCCTCAGTCATATTGGCTAGAGAGAACATATACCATTTGATACGGCCAAAACTTGCCTCAACGAAATAACGGTTTTAAATACTAGGTCTCTTTGGAGTCGATCTAGCGATGTCCGACCATCCGTCCATCTGTCTGGCTGGTGCGCACGATAACTCGAAGGGTGTTTCCGATTTGATCCGAACTTGTTACATTGTAATATTAATGTCAAACTTAGATCGAGTTCGGAGTTGGGCAATATAGGTCCATTCCTTCTGGTACCTTCTTCACAAAATGTCAATATTTTCGAAGAAAATAATTTACTGGAAAGAAAGAGAAAGGATAATCTGAATTTTTTCCAACTTTGCAAATCCTAATATTTGCATCAGTGCTAGGTCAGGTGTGGAAATTAACAATATCGGTCCACTCCATAAAGTACCTCCCTCACAAAGAGTCAAAATTTTGAATAATTATAACTCCTAAAAATGTGATGTAAGTGTCCGATTCTCTTCAAATTACACCTATCACAGTATTTTTATTAAACCAAGGTCTGGTGTGAAGATGTAATTTATTGGTCCATTCCTTCTGGTACCTCCCCCACAAAAGGGTCAAAATTTTCAATATTCATGAAGCTCATAAAACACGAAACTAACATCAGATTCCATTCAAACTTGGCACAGCTCAATATTTCTATTAACACAAGATCTTTTAAAAAGATGGTAGAGATCGGACCATTCCTTCTGGTACCTACCCCACAAAGGGTCAAAGTTTTTTAATCATAAAATTCGAAATAAGCATACAGTTCTCTTCAAATTACACACATCACAATATATTTATTAAACCAAGGTCTGGTATGAAGATGGAATATATCGCTACACTCCTTCTGGTACCTCCCCCACAAAGGGTCAAAATTTTAATATCTATGAATCTCAAAAAAACCCAAAATTAACATCTGATTCCATTCAGACTTGGTACATCTCAATATTTCCATTAACACAAGGTCTGTTATTGGACCATTTCTTCTAGTACCTCCCCTACATAGGGTTCAAGATTTTTGAAAATCAAAACACTCAAAGAAAGCGAAATAAGCATTCAACTCTCTTCAAATTTCACACATCTAACTGTTTTTGTTAACGCAAGATCTGTTGTGAAGATGATACATATCTGCCAACCCCTTCCAGTACCTCACCACAAAGGGTCACAATTTCCAATACTTTTATCTGTCATAACTTGCGAAAGAATTCGGCGATTCTTTAAAACTTGCAATATTTAAATATTTCTCTTAAGCAGAAATTTAGAAATGTATGATTTCGTATAAAATTGGATTTCGATTTCGTTTAAATTTTGCACATATCAATATTTTTTTATCTGTATTAGATAAATATAGAAATGGAGTACTTCGGTCCGCTACATTTATTAACTGCCGCATATATCCACATTTTCCAAAAATTTGCACATACCTCACATAAAGTACAGGAAGTAGTCGAAATAGTTCAAATCTGGCACGTTGTAATCTGTTTATATCAGTCTTAGGTCAGATACGTATTGGTCAATATTGGCCAACTGCTTCGGAACCTCCCCTATAAAGGGTCAATCATAACTCAAGGCTGGGGGTATACATCTGTCGGCAAAACCGACTCATACTTTTTAACTTGTTTTAGATTCATATTGAATATTCTTATCTTTGATTTGAGTTTAGAAAGTATACATCTGCTCCACATGAAGAGCAATGTTCTATTGTGTTCACCATGAATAATGAATATAAATGCAATGATATTATAATTATGTTTTTACTTTAGTTCAGATATTATGTATTTAATTCCATAATGCCATGTTTACGTTAGAACTTTTTGTAGGGTTAACCTACTTTGAGAGGATTTTTTTGAAGTAAAAGTAATGGATATGACAATTTAAATCCAAATCCAGTGGGTTAACCCTCATATATATAAACGTACTATAAGACCATTGTTTGTTTATACTTTATAGTTCAGGAGTTTATGTTGAACCCTTATTTCTTTCATTTTTTTCTTTTGTCCCCTCCGTCCAATTAGGCTTACTATACATATGGTAGAATGTTAATTAAGCTTGCAGAGGCTATTGGTCGGCTCGTGTTGGCTGGTCGTGAAATGACACGTTTGGCTGGTGAGTATATATATTTTTTTTGAATTTCAAATTTAATCACATACATGTATGCTAATTATTTGAATTTTTCCACAATTTACTTTTGTTAAGGTTTCACTGCACGAATGACCGAATTAATTAAGGTATTGAATGATCTCAATAAGGGTACCTATGAACGCACCATGGTCAACAATACCCTGGCACAAGAAACTGGCTTTGGTCCAGGCAAAGGTGAAATGGTGTTTGTTGACAATATCATTAAGTTCGAAAATGTTCCGTTGGTTACACCAAATGGTGATGTTTTGGTCAAGAATTTAACCTTTGAAGTTAAGTAAGTATAAATTTTTTTTTGGGATTTATTTGAGCTATTTTTATTACGTATCTAAAAATATCTAAAGCTTTATTTTTACTGATAAATTGTAGAAGGTTTTCAGAGTGGGAAATATAATACTACGATTTTAGAGCCTATTAAATCATTTTCGAAAAGCTGGTGAAGCAAGTTCCTTATTGTAAAAATATTCAATTAGAATATCAATTCAGTGTTCAACAATAATTCTTAGTCTTCTGTGAGCAAACATAGGATTTCAATTATCGGAGTCTTAGCCTTTTTGTTGTTGTGGATTAAATATTTCCAATTTGAATCCCTATCATTGCATATAACATTGATTTCGATCAGCTCGGAGAAGCGACAAAACGGATAAATTTTGGTAACTTGTTGTTGTTAGACCTGTGCCACAAGCTGGGCAGATGTTCAGCACATCGTTGTCCCAATAGGAATTGAGGCGGCTGCACCATCTTAACTCTCGCTCTTCAGCTGCGATGGGAGGGGGATAGTCTCCTAGTACAGTATTCACTCTATATCCTTCCATGACTTCTGAGACCACGTTAGGGTGAATATGCCTGCTTGATAGGCCTGTTGGTCTAAAGGTCTTTCGTTACGTGCCTAGGCGTAGGTTGTCTATCCACCAGATGTTGATTCGGATGGCTCTGTCTGAAACACCCAATCAGCATTTTATTATGCCGTCGCATTTGTAAGACCTTCGCCTCTTCATGTAGGTGGTCGACAGGTGTCATGAGGAGGCACCCTGTTGCAGTTATAAGAGCGGCATTCTGGCAGGACTGAATATTTTTCCACTGTGTACCACTAACGTTGGCGGACCACACCGAAGTCGCATAGTTTAGGTCAACAAGGTTTCCTTATCAGCTCCCCAAGTGATGCCGGCCAGAGACTTGAGAACTTTGTCCCTACTTCTAATCTTATCGCAAATAGCTGTGGACGACTTGAAGGGGGCTATCAAATGTGACCTCTAAGACCTTGGGGTAGTTGGTGGTCGGAATTGCAACACAATCGACTTTCACATTCAAAGATAGCCTCATCTCCGCAGTCCATATGCTGAAAAGTGTGTCCTTCGATTTAGTGATGGATATCTTCATATTCTTCGCAGTGAAAAAGTAGGTAAGATCAACTATGTAAGCGTTTAACCGATCGCATATGTCATCTATGATTGGTCCGGACGCCACGAGCGTACAATCATCTGCGTACGTTATTATCTCTATGCCGTCTGTAGGTTTTGGAATGTTAGAAAGGTAGAGATAAACAGTTCCGGATATATTAACCCACCTTGGGTAACCCCCATTTCACTCTACGGTACTCGACTTCTTGTTTCTGAATTCCACGTACGACTGGCGTCCAATCCCTCGTCGGCCGGTTCTATGTACGGGATTGACTCGAAGGAATAAATCTTCGACTAGGATCCGCCAACCCAGTAAATAAATGTTTTTGTAGCTTGTACCTTGGGGTGCAGCACCAGTTCATCTTGGGTCTTCTTTGAATAACAGTTTTACGGCTCTGGCAAAGTGTGCGAAGGGGTGAGCGTAATCGAGCAAATTTCCTCAAGATCCGAAGACTATAAGCCTTTTATTGCCAGATCGCCAGCTTTCTGATTTCGTTCTTTGTGCAAATGACTGGTTCCCAGCCCAGACGAAAGCAGTTTGCATATTTCTTAGAGTTGATCGATATTTCAGGACGACATAAGATTTGAAGTTCAAAATGAAATGGTTTTTGAGAGCCACCAAACTGACTTGCCTTAAACTCTGTAATCTTAGCTTCCAATACTGCCGTCTAGCGATGGATTTTGATATCTTGCACCATGGGTCGTTGTTCCAGGTTATTTTGGCTTTTCCTTGAAGAACAGTTTCAGGACTCTGACAAAGTGGGTGGTTGGGTAAATCAGAAAAATTGGGACTAGGTCTAGTGACAGCTTTCTTATTTCCTTCAAATATCTTCAAATGACCCGTTCCCGGCACAAACGGAAATCAGTTTGCAGGCAGATTTCTCCGAGAAAGAATTATATAGAAAAACGACCTTATTATGACCTTATTCAGATATGAGCTCTTTTGAGAATTGTCATTTGTAAAAAACACGCATTTTTTTTTAAATATTTCGATTCAAGATAGGTTTGTAAGTGAAATTTTATGAGGATCCAAGATATAAGCAGTATCAACTTATATATTCTTATATATTTATATTAATAGAACTAATACTAAATACAATTCATCCTCAGATCTGGTACAAATGTGTTGGTGTGTGGTCCTAATGGCTGTGGCAAATCTAGTTTATTCCGTATTTTGGGAGAATTGTGGCCAACATGGGGCGGCAAGGTGGTCAAGCCAAATCGCGGCAAACTTTTCTATATACCCCAAAGACCCTACATGACACTTGGTTCATTGCGTGATCAGGTAACTATAAATGTAACAAATAAATTTTGTATTCCTCTAAAATCACATCAAAAATCTTTTCCACACAGATAACCTATCCCCATACCCGTGAAGATATGCGCCGTGCTGGCAAAACCGATGAAGACATCATGCAATACTTGGACATTGTACAATTATCCTATTTAGAGCAAAGAGAAAATGGTCTGGATGCCGTTGAGGATTGGATTGATGTGTTGTCGGGTGGCGAAAAACAACGTATTGCCATGGCTCGTCTGTTCTATCATAGTCCACAATTTGCCATTTTGGATGAATGTACAAGTGCCGTGTCCGTTGATGTGGAAGGCAAAATGTATAGCTATTGTCGTGAAGCTGGCATAACATTATTCACCGTGTCACATCGTAAATCATTGTGGGTTCATCATGATTACTATTTGCAATTCGATGGTCGTGGTAGCTATGAATATGGTCGCATCGATCAAGACAAGGAATATTTCGGTTCATAAATATATAAACAAATGAAACATAAACCTGCCAACATTTAAATGCTGTGTGCGTTGGCCAAAAATGTACAGAAAACAACGAGCGGTAGTCATGCATCGCCCATTTTTACAGTAACAACAAAACTACAACTATTTGACTATCATATAGTGGCCAAGATTTCTTTAGTGTAATTTTTTATTTTTATAGCTTTTTTTTATTATTACTACATGTAGAACTTCATAGAACAATTGTGTTGAATTGATTTGTAAACTTAAAACTTTCCATTGCACATGATTCCATTATTATATAATAATTTTCAATCCGCTCTGAGCTACAAATTTAAAAAAAAAAATATAGTTTGCTTTCTAAGAAAAGGCGTTTTACAATACTTGGAATTGATTTCCTTAACAAAAACAAAAAAAGAACAACTTTGGTGCTGGTTTAAAATATAAAAAAAGAAACGATGCGAAAATGAAATTTATACAAAACTATTTGTAAATTAAATAATACTTTTTTAATAATCTCTAATTAAGTAAATTTTTGCACTCCCATCCAGACACACATCCTTCCATATTCGCGAAACCTTTTTTTATTATATTTGGATATGTTTTCCTATAACTAATTCAATTTTTTTTTGCAACTTGATTTGTATAGACCATTTAAATGAAATGATGTTTTTAAGTTCTTGCTTGTATTTTGTGGTAAACTTCATTAGATATACATATATGTAACAACATGTTGAAACAAATAACACATTTTGTATTACCTAAAAAGAACATAGAAAACCCTTATTTACTTTAAAACAGTAGTTATATTCATAAATTATGTATGTATATATACCAATGTCATCTTTATATACAAGCAAATGTGTAATCTACTGAAAATAATGAAATAAAATGTGTAAAAAAACATCTTGGTATTTTATTTAATGAGACCCCATTCAAAAAGCACATGGTCTTTGTTATCTCGGAATTTATTTTCAATCATTTTCTCATGTTACAATCATTTTGTTATTTTTTCATCTCATTTTGTTCCGTTAACGTTGATAATTTTTGTTGCGACTATTACTTGGCTTTCTGTTACGGGTACGATTTTCGAATGCTCTTGGTGGTGGCAATGTGTCATTATAATTTAAAGAAGTTCGGGGTATCCGTGTCGAATTATTATGTTGTCTCATCGATGGAAGAATATTATTTTTACTCTTCCTTTGAAGATAATTTTTCCAATTAAAATTATCACTTGCACTTCCAACAATCCAAAGAAATATTGAACTCACAGCTATAGTTGTAAGTCCCATTGCATATCGTTCCCATGCATTATAGATGTTTGGTCGTAGCCCAACACCAATCAATATACTCTTACATATTTTACATGTCATTTTCTCAATACTGCACCAAACAGTGGGCGAAATTAATTTTGTCAAGGAAAAGGCAAACAGGATCTTAGCTGCTACTTGATACAGGCGCCGGACATGACTGTAGCGTTGAGGAAACTTTGCCATATCGAAAATCATAATAAAATATCCAATTGAAAATAGCAGTTTTGCAAAATTTGTTTTTGTGGTACATAATTCGGATTTCTCCTCCAGGTAATATAGCAGGGACCATAACACATGCAATGACACCGGCACAGCTATATTCATTTTAGATTTTATTTATTTATTTTTTGTAATTATTTTTCTAAAAATAAATAGTAACTCTATCTTGAAATGTGTAAAAATAATACTTTTTTTTTAAAAATTGTCAATAGTTGTTATGATTAGAACCGACCGGCAGGGTTGTATCCTACAATGTAATTAGTAAGGTATAAAAAAGATTTTTGTCATAGGAGTTATATTTAAAATAACGCCTGGAGAGAATATCCAAGACAAAATCAAGGGAACTGATGAGGATTGGTGGCTCTTTCCGAAACCTAGGTATTCCCTCCCTTACCCCCTGGTAAACATTACCATCGTTCTTCACTAATAAAAAAAAAACGTTGTTTTTATCTGAACAACAATAATGGGATTAAGCCTGACAATTTTGCAATAAAAAGAATAAAACTGTTTAAAAATCACGGGATTTTAAACCAGAGAATAGATTCTGAATCACTTTTGGTCCAGCCACCAAACTAAAAATGTATATAACGTTGATATAACTGCTACAACAAAATTGAAAACAAATCAATTTTTATATCCTACACCACATAGTGGTAAGGGTATTATGTCTTTGTGCATTTGTTTGCAACATGGAGAAGGAAGCGAGATAGACCCATAGTTACTTTTAAGGTTCTTTATAGAATCACTTTCTGAGTCGATTTATGTATGTCGGTCCATCTGTCCGTCCGTCCATGTGTTCTAGTAAACAAAATGCAGGTCCCATTTATTATCCGATTGAGATGACAATTTCCGAACAATATTTGTTGGGCTCAAGGACGAACCCTATTGAAATTGGTGAAAATCGGATCAGATTTAGATATAGCTTTCATATTTCCGGTTAATTGTGCACCAAATGGCTAACATAAGTCCAAATGAACTGCATTTTGGTACATCAAACCGAATTCAGTCTAGAAGAAATTACGTCAAATCTGGTGAAAATCGGTTCAGATATAGCTATAGCTCCCATATATATTTTTTACCCGATTTGGTGTTTAAGTCCCTCACATTCGTAATATGCATTCGACAACAATGATATTTGGTACAAGGTATCTTATAGAGCTCAGAAATACCTCTGCCTTTTTTTATCATGATCGGTTCAGATTTGGATATAGATCCCATATATATCAACCGATTTCGTTTTAGTTGTGCACCAAATGGCCAATATCAATCCAAATCACCCGAATTTTGGCACATCTAAACGAATTCAGTCTAGAAGCAAGCACATCAAATTTGGTGAAGACTGGTTCAGATATAACTATGGCTCCCATATATATGAGATAAAAACCTGCAACAAAGTCAAACGCAATAGTTTTTAATTTTTTTTTTAATTTTATTGGATGAAAACAAAAAATGTCGGAAATAGCATCAAATTTTAGAACAAGATAGAAAATTTTAGAACATTTAGATTTGTTCGAATTGGTCACCTTTGGCTAGAATTATGGCCTTCAAACAGCCAATGAAACCGTCACACGCTGCCCAAATGTTGCTCTGTGGTATTTTGGCGCATTCCCGGCGAAGCGTTTGCTTGAGGTGACACTTTGGTATTTTTTAGTGCCAACCTTGTTTTCCAAAATACTCCCGACACAATAGTCCAACGGATTGGTATCCGGAGATTTTGGTGGCCATTGTGCGCTGGAAATGAATCGAGGAACCTCATTTTGTAACCATTCTTGTGTGACGTGTGCTGAAGTTCTGTTTGAATGTCCAATGTCTGCGACCAAAATGTTTGCGTGTCCAAGGATTTAGTACACCCTCCAGAATATTTTCGCCATAATATTCGGCATTTATTCTGATGCCAGGGTCGATTAATAAGAGCGGAGAGCGACCATCGGCTTTTATGGCGGCCCACACCATCACCATGGCCGGCGCTTGAGTTCTGATGGTCAACCGAAGGTGCATATTTTCAGTTGACCTCTTTGGCAAGTAAACACGATCATTTTGTTTGTTTACAAACTAATTAACAATTTTTTGTAAAGCCAGACGCTGAAAATACGCTTTAGTCATTAAAACAAAACATTATAGTTTTAAGCATGGTACAATGAAGAGAAGGTAGGTCAACTTTGAAAATTTTGCAAGTATAGAGGTCTACCTGTTTGGCTTGTAATGTCAGAATTAGTATCAAAACAATAAAAAATCAAACAACTTGTTGCATTTATTTTAAATAAATAATTGAAAACCGCGATATCTGAATGAAAGGTCAACACTTCTTTTCAAAACCAGGTTCTATATATCTCTAAAGGATTATTTCGCTACAAAAACTCTAGATTTTGTCGATGCATACGTTGAAATAAACATTTTGAAAACACCCGATTTTCAAAATTGTAAATTGTAAATTTTCGTGTTAAAAAAAATTTCAAAATTGTAAATTTTCGTGTTAAAAAAAAGACTCAATAAATTTGAATTGAATTGAATTGAATGTTTTGTCATTGAAGAAAACCAAATTCCCCAGTTCACCACTTTCGGCCAAGCGAAGCAACTCTTTAGCTCTTTTGAGTCTATTTTCTTTCTGCTCGGGTGTAAGTTCTTGCACTTTTTGGAATTTCAATGGCTTTACCCCGAGCTCATTTTTCAATATTTGCCGAATGGAATGTTGCGATATGTTCCGCTCACGAGCCATTTTTCAGCCACTGCGACGCGGGTTTCGATCAAGTCTCTTCTTTACTTTTCGAAACATTTCTGCTGATGTTGCTGTTTTCTTCTATCCACTTCCTTGACGTCGGGCTACGCTACCAGTATCACGATAACGAGCGATGGTACGAGGCACAAAAGATTTATTCATATTTAAATGCTGAAGTGATCTAACGATAGCCACTTGTGGTTTTCCAGCCAAAGATAAAGAAATCACACTATCACGCTTGAATTCCATCACGAATAACTTTTTTTCTGGAAAATTCTCACCAAAATGCTTTTGTACGCTTGTAAACAATATAATGAACTGTCACTGGAATAAATTTAACAGCTGTCGGACGAGTGACTTAGAAATGGCAGCAGTCTTAAGTTGGTTGCAGTTTTTCATCTTACCCTGTATGTTTCATCCGATTTGGTTTTTAAGCCCCTCACATTCGTAACAATGATTTTTGGTACTTGATATCTTATAGAGCTAGGAAATACCTTTGCCAAATTTTATCGAGATCGGCTAAGATTTGGATATAGCTACCATATATATCCGATTTCAGGTTTATTGTGCAAATAATATCAGCCCAAATGAAGTGAATTTCGAGATGTACAGGGTTGCCCATATTCGACGGACCCATGTTTTTTTCGGCCATTTCGATGACTCTTTGGGCCCATTCCAATCGACGAAGCTTGTCCGAAGGGAACAAATGCAAATCAATGCGAATAATCCGTTGTAAAGTGGACCGACCCATGCCCAACTGCTGAGAACGGCGTTTTTGGGATGTTCTTGGGGACCTCTCAACATTGGCTCGTTCGGCAGCGATATTCTCGGCCGATCGCCTTGGTCGACTTTTATATGGCCTCTTCGGATTAGAAAGAGCCTTACCAGTCGAAAATTTTTCGTATAAACGCTTAATGGTGTTCTTAGAAGGCACGTTGAGTTTTCACAATTGACTTCTTCTGTTGAATGTAAATTTCAACTATTTCAGAGCGCTCGCTGTATTGATTCATGGTAAAAATCTGCTTGGACTGACGCTTCAAACGCGGTATGTCATTAAGCGATGTGACATCTCTGTCAAAAGTTATGGCGTTGCCAGATGGGTACGTCGAATATGGGCAACCCTGTACTTTTCCATTTTTTTAAGGGAGCTCTACTAAATATGCCTAGTGGTGTAGGGTATCATATAGCCGTCCCCGCCCGACTTTTGACTTTTCCTTACTGGTT